GACCCCGGGGAGGGGGCGGGACCCCCCAAAATCCTGCCACGCCCCCCAAGTACACGGAGGAGGTGGCCCCGGTGCTGCGGGAGGGATTTGGGATGCTGAGGTTGCCTGGGGAGGATTTTATCTTGTCAGGGGGGAATTTGGGGTTCAGAGGCAGGATTTTGGGGTTCAGGAGCAGGATTTTGGGGTTCAGAAGACCCCGGGGAGGGGGCGGGACCCCCCAAAATCCTGCCACGCCCCCCCAGGCACACACACGAGGTGGCCCCGGTGCTGGTGCTGCTGGGGGGATTTGGGATGCTGAGGTTGCCTGGGGAGGATTTTGGGGTTCCGGTGCAGGATTTTGGGGTCCAGAAGACCCCGGGACCCCCCAAAATCCTGCCGTGCCCCCCCAGGTACACGTACGAGGTGGCCCCGGTGCTGGTGCTGCTGGAGGAGCAGGTCCTGGCCAAGCTCCGGGAGCTCGTGGGGTGGAGCGGCGGCGACGGGATCTTCGCTCCCGGTACCCCCCAAAATCCCAAAGCCGCCATTCCCGGGGGGGTTTTGGGGTGAGGTTGGGGGGTCCCTGACTCGCCCCCGTTTTTTTGGGGCAGGGGGCTCCATGTCCAACATGCTGGCGATGAACGTGGCGCGATTCCGGCGCTTCCCGGAGGCTCGGAGCAAAGGGAGCCGGGAATTGCCGCGGCTGGCGCTGTTCGCCTCCAGGGAGGTGGGAAAAGGGGCGGGGACACCCCGAAAATGGGGCTGGGGATACCCCAAAAATGGGGCTGGGGATACCCCGAAAATGGGATGAGGAGACCCCAAAAATGGGGATGGGGACATCCTGAAAATGGGGCGGGGACACCTCAAAAATGGGATGGGGACACCTCCAAAAAAGAGTCTGGGACACCTAAAAAATGGGCTGAGGATACCCCAAAAACGGGGTTGGGGAAACCCTGAAAATGGGGCTGGGGACACCCCGAAAATGGGTTGGGGACACCCCAAATCCGGTCCCAAATCTGCTCCCAGGGTCATCACCTGATCCCAAACCTGATTCTCGGGGTCCCCCCAACCCCTGGGGTCCCCCCAAACCCAACCCCTGGGGTCCCCCCAATCCCTGGGGTCCCCTCAGCCCGTGTCCCCCCCAGCCCGTGTCCCCTCCCCCCAGAGCCACTACTCGATCCCAAAAGGCGCCGCTTTCCTGGGAATCGGCACCGACAACGTTCACCTCGTGCCCACGGACGAGAGGTGGGTGAGGGGGGGGAGCCCGGGCTGGGGGGACCCCCGGGGACCCCCTCCCTGTCCCTGTCCCTGTCCCATCTCTGTCCCATTCCTGTCCTATTCCTGTCACATCCCATTCCCTGTTCCCACCC